ACACACACACACACACACAAGGACTTTTCCCTTTTCTCCTTTGTTTGGTGATTTCTTCATCTTCCATGCTAGACTCAACCTCAACTCAACCTCTCAGTACAATGCGGTGAAACTCAGCGACCTCTAAAATAGTTGTGCAACTGAATCAACACCTTCCTAAAGAGTTTAAAAAACTGAACAATACAGTCTTTTTCATGAAGTGTAACACATATACACATATATTATTTAATTTAATACTTAATTTAATATCCCGCACTCCTTCACCCTGTAAACTGCTGCTAGCCCTTGATTTAAATTCAAATTTAAACTGTTGTACTATGTTATATGTTAAAAGTTATATGTTGTTACTATGTTGTATGTTAAATGTTAAATGTTATGTTAAATGTTATATGTCACTATTTTTCTTTTATCTTGTATTTCCCGTCTACTGCGTAGATGTTGCCTGCCATGTCACAAGAATTTCACTGCTCTGATGACGCTAAGTTATTTGGTGCATGTGACAATAAACTTTGATTTGATTTGATTTGATTTGATTTGATTTGATTTGAAGGTGACGTTCATACGGCTGTTGGATAGGTTTTAGTTCAGTGTAGTCTTTTCAATAACTGAGTGCAGATGTGAATCAGAGTTTTGATTAGGGTTTACCCTACATGACCGAACCCTTTGAGGTTAACACACTGAGAGGTTCATTAATTATTGTTTTATCGTGTAGAGACAAGCAGAGAAAGTGTGGCACTCCCACTCAGCATCTTTTTCATGTCACATTTTCTTTTAAACCTGTTTTTAATCATTAATATTGTCTGGGTTATAGTTCCTATAGTTTTAATAGTTGTGCTTGTGTATAAGTGGTGAAGCTATTTCTTTAAAACCTTAAACCATCTCATCACTGAATAATTGTTTGTTTTAAAAGGCACCAGTTTGATGTGTTGTATCACCACTGTCTTTTAATGTGAACTCCAACTGAACACACTCAAATGATTGCATTACACTGCAGAGGCCAACTGAGCTGGTGAATCCAGTTTTTCTCATCATGCATTTAAACCTAGAACAACATACAGAACAACCTAAGGCTCAACATGTTTCTATCCTCAGGGCAACATAGGCTTATAATCTCATCTCATTTTACCTCTAGTTGTTTTAGTTGATCCACGTATCTGAATTGATTCATCCGCTTCAAATTAATATTTATGTTGTGTATTTATTCCCAAGATTTTAACTTTTGCTCTTGTTTGTACTGTTTTTATTTGATAAAACATGATGTTGATTGATATTGATGATATGATGGTTTGATCAGCTGACATCAGCGTTCAACCTAAATACTCAGGAGGCTAAAAGGAGGAAAATCCCTGTAACCAAGATCTGGTGCAGTCTGTTATAGCAGCGTATTAATACCCATGAAATGTTCCACACTGACATCAACAATCATCACTCACACATGGGCTGAGAATCTTGGAGTCGAGTTTGATTAGGCACTTAAGTTCAGCAAACACGTAAATCATCAGATCCAGATTCAGTCTCCAGCTTCAAACCTTCACATCCACCTGCTTTGAGTGATGCACCTCTTCATATTTAGGCATTAGTCACACTTTAAAATCTTGTCTCCAACTCGTCATGAGTTCTGCAGCGAGCTCTTCACCTACGTGTTCTGATTGGTGAGCTGGAGACTCTAGGCCCAGTTAAACTTAAAAACATACTTAGCCTAGTTTTATCACCAAATATTTGCGATTATATTTTTACATATCTGTGTTTATGAATTACTTTACAAAAAGGAGCATATATTAGTTCATGTGTAGCCTATATATCAAATATGAAACATGAGTCCATTTGTTAAAATGATGCTTTATGGTCAGTTGAAAATATGTATATATGGATATTTATATGAAATATGCAAGCCCTTGTTGCGGAGGGTTACCACTTTCTTACATTTTTACACATATTGTGTTTAATGAGGTCAAAAGAAAAGAAACATTATTTAAAGGAAAAAATGAGCAGGGCTGTCGGACAGGTAATAAGGAAGGATATGTGGAGAAAGAGGCAGGTTAAGAATGTTAGAAAGCAGGAGCCACATTTCTCTTACCTCCTTATAACTATCATTGTTACCGAGCACATTAAGGAAAAGAACAGAAATAACATAAGGCTAAATGGACAGTCAAAGTGGGAAAAGTTAAAGTTTCTTCTGCCCTGATCCAATGTATTATTATATTACAACACTACTTACAATTATTTGAATCTGCACATCATGCATCTGTATGAAAACTCAATGAATTATAAATGTCAAAAGAAATTGTAAAAAATTACTCATTGCAGTTTCCTAAAACCCAAAGTAACAAATTCAAATAATATGTTCAGTTCACCAGCAGGTAACGTCGGACAAGAACAGCAAGTTGTTACAAGTGAAAAACAAATATTTGACATTTTAGCTTACAAACGATCTAATTGGTGCCAGTTACCAAATAGCTAATTAGTTAGATAACTAATATTCATCTGTTGACTGAATACTAAACCAATATCACCTGCAAAACGACTGCAGCACAAACGACAGTACAACCCTCTGTAGTGTTGTGCTCTTTTCAGTTTCACGTTCTTGTAATGTTTGACTGTCCACATACTTTTGGCCTTGTAGTGCAGCCCAAAGACAGACATGTGTGACACATTAGACAGAATATGGGTGTCACTCTCTCATGCAGTAACTTTCTCTGACACACACTGCTCTGAGTCAGTAACCGTCCCTGTCTAAGAACTCAGTGAATACACCTGCTCTGATAATCTGCTGTGCAGACTGAGTGAATCATCAATGAAATGTTGCAACGACTTAACAAGAAAAAATCCGAACCAACATCACAGAATCACACGACATAGTTGTGTAGAGAAGGGTGAAGAAACTGTCCCCTCTCCTGTTACACACCCCACGATGTCACACTCTCACTCTGATGACTCATCTCTTGTTTGGCAGTGGCCACATGTACACCTACAGTGCAAAAAGAGATGAATGACAATTATCAGGGTGGTGGCTATAGAAACATTGTAACGTCTAATGCTGTCTAATACCTCAGCAGATCAGACGCCCTAACACCTCAAGCAGGTTCAACACTTCAGAGAGAGAAAGAGCATCCACCACCAACTCAATGGTTATGGTAAGTTAAAAAACTTTTGTTTGAAGACTTTTAAACCAAATTAGTTCATTCCATTGCTCTTTGGGTTATGGAGGGGAAATTAATTTCCACTGTGAACATTCAGTTTTAGTTCAATTGTATAGATGCATTTACTGAAATGTGTAAAAGCTGTGCGTGATTATTTGTATGCACAAATATTCTCTGACAAAATAGGATAGAATAGAATACAATGCCTTTCTTGTCATTGCACATTGTACAAAATGTTTTTGCTGCGAATTTCCAAAGCATGGCAATATATAA